ATATGTCCTTAAAGATGACAGAGAGGGGCGTCTGGGTGGCACAGTCAGTTACGCATCCAGCTCTTGGTTTTGGCTCAGGTCATGATCTCGGGATGGTGAGATCGAGCCCCGTGTTGGGCTCTGCGCTCAATGCAGAATCTGCTTGGGTTTCTCTCTCTCCCTCTCCATCTGCCCCTCTCTCTCATGCTCACTCTCTCTCCCTCTCAAATAAATAATAAATAAATAAATAAATAAATAAATTTTTTAAAATTATGAAAGTAAATTTTAAACGATGGAGAGACAGTATTATTTATTTATTTGGGACATAGAATGAAAAAGTACATGTTTCAGAGTTGCAGGAAATGGATAATGCTTCGGAAAGAAAGCGTCCATAATGGGAGTTCCTCCTAAGTTGGCCAGACTCCCCACCTAAAGTTTAAAATGAGAAAAATGAAATATTTTGGGTTGAGTACTTAAGCACATTCAGCAACAGGTAGAATACAACGAAAAACTGCCTGTTGAGTCAGAATCATTGGAACAAAAGGACTTGTTCATATGTGAAAGATTCTATGTCGACTCTAGAAGGCCAAGAGAAAAAATATGGTGGTGTTCCCAGCACTATTAGCAAAAACCGTACCCACATAAAAGTGGGCCCAGGTGATAGGAGGTGGGTAGGAGAGCCGGCAGGACAGAGGGCCAGTCTGCATACTGTCTGCTTGTGCCAGAAAGTAAGCGTCGTTGTGCAAATACCACCTAGGAGCTGGGTGTGCGGACTCCTGGAGACGGCCTCTGCTGGGAGCTGGTGGTTTCCTCACCTTCCTAAACAACTTCCGTTATAAGCAAAGTGAGAGAACTGGACGTTCCCTGTCCTGTCCATGACCCAGATGGAAGGGATGAACAGAGTTCACCCACGTGCGAGTCTTTGGAGAGTGTTGCAGTAAAACATGGAACTACAAAGGCCTGTTGTGTGTGGGGTGTCTGGAAGGTAACCACGTACTGAAACCTTGGAACAAAAAGTTATTGCAAACAAAAGACACAATGAAAATAGCAAAGTCGGCGTGACCAGAAGACTCTTCATTGCCAGACAGTGCATTTGTGGCCCGCCTGTGTGTTGGATGGCACCATGGTTGGAGAGCCCGGAGAGCCTCACAGTAGAGGAGGACAGGATTTCCTCCCCACTCACAGCTGGGCTCACAGCTCAGTGGGAGAGGGATAAGTAATAAGCGGAAGCCCAGGATTGCAAATTACACTCTGTTTTACAGGAGAGGAAACATTGTAATTTCTTTCAATATCTCTACTAGCCTTAGTCTTCAGAGGTTGAGATTCTGTTGTAGATGGTTTTTAAGCAGGTATCAAGCGAACTGACCCAGAAGTGTATATGTTGTACTAGATCATGCTAAATAATATAAATAAATGACAGTATGTGTTATATGGGCAGGACCACAACCAGAGGCGTAGCAACCGACTGCCCCTCTCTGAGAAACATGTGTGGGAAGAAGTTGCCAGTCGGTGACTTGCTCTAATGACCTGAGTAGGAGCCCACAAAGGTTTTCTGTTTTGGACTTTGTTCAGGAGGACTTAAATACCAGAAAAACCGGAAGGCCCAGGTTCAGCAAAGAACACCAGCTATGTAAGGTTTACTACTCTTTTGCAACATTCTTCGTGGTTTGTAATGGATTTTAATAGAAGGTTTTAAAATAGGAGCTTTACTTTGTGATTCATCTGGGGGTTCAGTTGACTGCACTTGAGTAAATTATTCACCACTTCATTAAAATTCAGTAGCACTGAAGGCTTCTGTCTGATGCACTCAGAGCTGTCCATTGCAAAAGAAATGTGTAGGGGCTAGTTTTCCCAGTCTGGCCCGCCCTGGAAGTATAGGCAATACCAATGGAATGTAAATTTAACACTTTTATTTTCCATTAACCAAAATTATCTGTGTAACCTCAGGAGAAAAAACAGGCTTTCAGTGAGTCATCTACACGTTGGTGATTTTAAATCTCTTAGTGGGAGCATATTACTGGTTTTATGCATTTTGATAATGCATTACTGCGAAGAGGGGGAGTTTGACTTCTTTGCTAGTTTGAATGCTTTTTGTTTCTTTTTGTTGTCTCATTGCTGAGGCTAGGACTTCTAGTACTATGTTGAACAATAGTGGAGAGAGTGGACATCCCTATTGTATTCCTGATCTTAAGGGGAAAGCTCTTAGCCTTTCCCCAATGAGAATGATATTCGCTGTGGGCTTTTTGTAGATGGTTTTTATGATATTGAGGAATGTTCCCTCTATCCCTATACTCTGAAGAGTTTTAATCAGAAACGGATGTTGTATTTTGTCAAATGTTTTCTGCATCAGTTGAGAGGATCATATGGTTCTTGTCTTTTATTGATACTCTCTACCCATTGATTGACTTGTGAATATTGAACCACCCTTGCATCTCAGGCATAAAACCCACTTAGTCGTGGTGAATAATCCTTTTAATGTCCTGTTGGATCCTATTAGCTAGGATCTTGTTGAGTATTTTGGCTCCCATGTTCATTGGGGATATTGGTTGAATGCCCACCATTTGCATTGACATGGATGGAACTGGAGGGGATTATGTTAAGTGATGTACCTCAAGCAGAGAAAGACAATTATCGTATGGTCTCACTCCTTTGTGGAACATAAGCAATAGCACAGAGGACCACAGAGGGAGGGAGGGAAGTCCAAAGGGGGAGAAATCGGAGAGGGAGATGAACCATGAGAAACTGTGGAACCCGAGAAACAATCTGGGGATTTCAGGGAGGAGAAGGTGGGGGGGGTGGCAGGGTGATGGGTATTGAGGAAGGCATGTACTATGATGAGCCCTGGGTGTTATACTTAACTAATGAATCACTGAACACCACATCAAGGACTAATTATGTACTATACAGTGGCTATCTGAACATAATAAAAAAAATAAAAAATTTTTTAAAAAGACATTGCGGCAGGGGACAGGCTTAGAGCCTCGTCATGATTATCTGCATTGCTCAGAGATAAGATTTTCGTCAATGAAGAGTCAGCACTCTAATGGAAAGAGCTTTGTCATTTGAGAGTAGAAATTATATCCTAAAATATTTTAAAACTGGACATTTGTTTACTTTTTTTCCTAGTAGAACTGAAATCATGTCATTTATTGGAACAGATGGCACAGAAGAGGTGGGCCGCCAGGAAATTGGTGTGTTCTACTTTTAGAAAAAAAAAAAAAATGTATATATATAAAACAGTACCAAAAAGCATAACGAAGTTATGGACTTATGGGCTTTTGCCGAATCTGGCTGGTTCAACTCCTCTCCAAAATTCCCGCCCCGGTGGAAGGCCTCCCTGGCTTCCCTGCTTGAGTTCTATGGTCTCCTCATACTTTGACACCAACTTCGCGATCGATTTCCAGTGGCTTCATCACGGTCAAGTGCAATGTCCTTTCCAGAGATCTCTGACCCCGAGAACATCCCTCCTGATGTCTCGCCTCTCCCCTGGCTGCTGCTACATGGCTGCTTTACTTGGGCCTCGTGGTCACGAGCTACATTTCTCCTGCTTCCTTCTGCAGTGGGAACAGCATTGGCCCCGCCGTCCCCATCCTTCCTGTTCTCCCAGTGCTCCTTGCCTTGTCCACTTCTCCGGCAGCCGTGCCCAGAGCCTGGCACGGTACGGCGGGAGCAGCTGGGTGGGCGCGGCTGCTCAAAACAACCGTTCTGAACCCCTTTCAAGAATCTAAGATTCCAGGATCTCATCCCGGAAAGAGGCACATGGGGCTGTGCGCGCTACAGACAATCGCGGAAGGTTTCTGGGACTCTGGAGCACCTTCATCAGCCGAGGGCCTCCCTGGCTGGCAGATAACCCCCGACTGTTGTGTGGACACTGTGCCTGGGAATCCCTGGGGAGGCCTTCCCTGACCACCTGTCCCTGGGCCCTACCCCACCAACTGCCATAAAGCCAAGAAGATGGGGATCCACAGGGGAAGGGTTTTCAGAGTTGTTTATTTTGAAGGAGGCTATGCTGGAGAAATCTGGTTTAGAAATCACGTTTTAATCCTAATCACATATGTGAGGCTTCTTCAGGATCCAGTTTCTCTCTCTCTCTCTCTCTTTCTCTCTCTCTCTCTCTCTCTCTCACACACACACACACACACACACACACACACACACACAGGCATTTTATGCCCTCCTCCTGAACTGACTTGTTCAGGCGTGTTAGGCCTTTTGGGGTGAAGTGCTCGTGAAATTTTAAACATCGTTGTCCGAGCTGCAGCCACCTGGCTTCTCTCTTGCTGGCTCTTGTTGGATGAAGTCTGGGGAATGTCTTAATTTGGGGATGATTCGGACCTGGTGGAAAGTCAGACAGACGTATGTCCGGATCATGGGGGCCTAACGTGTTTTTTAAATGTTTGTTTGGGGGAACTTATGACATCTTGGAGCCTTAGGAAATGACAAGGGGGGGAAGTTACAGTTTCTGAATATGCTGTTAGCCAGATAGCTGAGCGAGTACAAGAAAGGCTCGGTCCCATGGCTTGGTGTGCCTTAACCTTCGTTTTCCTTTGGTGACGTCTGCGGCTTCCTGGCATCTCCTTCAGATGCCCATAATCCAGCCGCCCCTGTTAGAACATTGCATGAGCGGTTTCTTGTGGAAGCAGGTGTAGGCTGGTGTTTGGTACTAACGAGGGTCCCCGGGGGGCGGGGGGGGCGTGAGGGCAAGGGGGCATCAGCCTGGGGGAGGAGGCATGTCCTCTGATGTGTTTGCCTGGCTGGTCTCAAGACAGTGTTTCTGTCTCAGCCTGACAGTGGGTTCAAAACCAGGCTCGGATGGGAGGGGAAGAGCCCGTCCGATTTTGCCAAGGGCAGTGACATCCTTTGTGCAGTGTTCCCGTTGAGACTTTCGAGTATCAGACCCGAGCTCCGACTCTTTGCCTAGGTTTGAAGGGGTCGGGGCGGACAGCAGGCAGGCACGAGTTGACAGAGGGGTACTGTGCCCCCCCTTCCTCCTCACCGCAGTTTACCTCCTCCCCATGCAGGTTATGGCCACACCGTGCCCCTGTCGGACGGAGGAAAGGCCTTCTGCATCATCTACTCGGTCATCGGCATTCCGTTCACCCTCCTGTTCCTGACGGCGGTGGTCCAGCGTGTCACCATCCACGTCACCCGCAGGCCTGTCCTCTACTTCCACGTCCGCTGGGGTTTCTCCAGGCAGGTGGTGGCCATCGTCCACGCCGTCCTCCTCGGCTTTGTCACCGTGTCCTGCTTCTTCTTCATCCCAGCGGCCGTGTTCTCCATCCTAGAGGAAGACTGGAACTTCCTCGAGTCCTTTTATTTTTGTTTCATTTCCCTGAGCACCATCGGCCTAGGGGACTACGTCCCTGGAGAAGGCTACAATCAGAAGTTCAGAGAGCTCTATAAGATTGGGATCACATGTGAGTATCGGGGACCCCGGACCCCACCCCCTTTGGCCTCTCCTTGCTGCTCCATGCCCCACCTCACCTTCCAATGAATAGTGTCATTCATAAAAGCCCTGATTGATAAATTTTCAAGCTCTTTGTGCAAAACTCTTACTGCTGAGTCTTATTTTTTCCAGGCACCTTAGAACTGCTGATTGATTTCCTACTAACGCCTAAGGCTGTAACTGATCAATTTCTTACCAATAAGGTAATAGGCGTTGTAAATTACAGTGTAAAAATGCACCGCCTAGAATATACCAGATTGCCAGCTTTTAATTAAAAAAATTTTCCTGCTTTTATTAAATATTTTAAGTTCCAGAAAACTAGGGCTAGGATGTAGCCTGTTCCTATTAATCATGTTCTTTAGTTTGCCAAGAAAATCTTAAAAGAGTTGCGTATCTCATTTGTCCATCTGGTTCTTTTTCAAAGAAGTTAGAATATATGTGAACAATTTTCAGAATTTTAGATGTGGAAAGTAGGCATTCAAATTCAGATGGCCAGTAGTTTATAATTTTTAAACATTTTTTAAAAATTGGACGTCGATATCGAGAACTTAGAAACCCATTTTCAAGAAACTCTTCATTTTTGCATAATAATACCCACACAATCTTCCTTTCTCCCGTCTCAAGAATTTTTCAAGATTCAGCTCATGTAACGTTTCCGAGGAGATCACAGGAGGGACTCAGGCAGTCAGATGCTGCGTCCTGGCCCTGTCTTGTCGTCATAACCTGACAACATGCTTAATTGAATTATGTATATTTTAACACCTACATTAAACCAGGGGCTCACCCAGGACAGAGACCCCACTCATGAACCCCAGTGCTCTGAACAGTGCCCCGCTAACACACAAGTTCCAGAAATGCTTATCAAATAGTTACAAGCACGAGCTCCAATTTCCTGTAGTTACCATAATTCTTTGTACTGTCCCCCGCATATTTGAGCACTGGCTCTACAGTAAACTAACCAGGCCTCTGTTGTTGACTGTTCCGACTGCCTCCAGTTGGGGGACGTTATAAATAACACTGTAGTAAATATTTGTATATGTTTATATTTTTTCTACTTGGATATCCAAGAAGTGGGATTGCTGGCCCAAAGTGAATATCCCTTTCTTGGGACTCACAGAACATGCCAACTCTGCCCTTTGCAAACGGCATTCCGGGCATACACTCTCAGCATAGCGATCCGAGCACAACGGTTTCGGCCCTCCCGGGTGGTGGGCCAACAGCCTGCGTGCTGTTTTTGTGGTAGATTTAGTAGCTCCTATAAAGGTTAGCTCAACTTTTTCTTCATGTGTTAGATAAACTATTACCTCCTTATTTTAAGGTAGTATTTTTAGGACTTCGAGAAGTTGAATGTTTCTGCGATTGCGTTTGCTAGGGCTGCTTGTCTCTTGTGTTCACTGTCGTCTCATAAATTCTGCCCAACTGTCGAACTCCCTCAATTTTTCGTATAATGCTAAATCCTTGCCGATCATCTTAACACTTGTTACTGTGTGAACCAGCTTGTTTTAGGCGGTCTACGTAGCATATGTGCTGAACAGAGCAAATGAATATTCCAAAAGCGTATTAGATTATGAATAGGATAAAATCCTACTGCTTTTGCCTGAAACCCCCGAGGATATTTTTGTCAGTGTTAAAGGGCTTGACTAAACACTGGATAAAGGAAAAGGAAGGGAATTGTCAACTCGTCCAACAACGTCATTGCTATTTCTTATTTTTAAGATTTATTGATTTATCTTAGCGCACGCACCTTTGCACAAGCCAGGGTGGGAGAGGGAGAGAGAGAATCCCAAGCAGACCCCCACCGAGGAGGGAGCTGATGTGGGGTTCCATCCCAAGACCCTGAGGTCATGACCTGAGTCGAAATCAAGAGTCAGATGCTTAGGGCACCTGGGTGGCTCAGTGGGTTAAAGCCTCTGCCTTCAGCTCAGGTCATGATCCCAGAGTCCTGGGATCAAGCCCTGCATCGGGCTCTCTGCTCGCAGGGAGCCTGCTTCCTCCTCTCTCTCTCTGTCTGCTTCTCTGACTACTTGTGATCTCTGTCAAATAAATAAATAAATAAAATCTTTAAAAAAAAAAAAAAAAAAAAAAAAGAGTCAGATGCTTAAGTGCCCGAGCCACCCAGCATCCCTGTTATTGCTATTACAAAAATACACCATGTTATCATGAAGACTTAATAGCCAGGCTCTCAGGATGCTAGAGCTGTGTCTCTCTGCCTTCTTGAAACAATCGGCCTCCTTGTTCCTATTACGCTGCTCATTCTAGCTGGTTCACTTATTTTCTGAAAATCCTCTGCAAGCATTTTACCACTGGGCCATGAAATTGGGATTTTTGTTATTTTTAGTTTTTATTTTCACTTTCCTGTCCTTGCCATGATGAACTTATTTCCTAGAAACTGATTTTAGATGTGTTGGAACTCACTCAAAGTCACCACTGTCCCATCACTGAATTCAAGGAACACCACATGACCTGAATCCACAGGTTATCTTCTATTTCGGAGTAGGAAGCTGGTGGAGTTAATCAGTGAGTGGTCCACATGCCCCCAAAATGACTGTCCCATCATGGACAGCTTAGTGGGCAGTTGGATCCCGGTCGGGTGCGAATCACCACACAAAGACCGGTTTCATGTCAGCGTCCATTCGCAGAGGGATTCTTATCTAGCTTCAACTATAATTTCTACTGCAATACTTGTTACACCTTAGTGGAAAAACTGATGAAAGTATTAAATCCTTAAGAAGGTGGCAAGCTCTGTTCCGAGCCATCATGACAATCAAAAACCTTTGGGACATGTCACTGGCTTTTTTTTTTTTTTTTTAAGATTTTATGTATTTATTCGAGATAGAGGATGTGAGAGAGTGAGCATGAACTGGGGAGGCAGAGGGAAAGGGAGAAGCAGGTTCCCCGCTGAGCAGGGAGCCCGATGTGGCACTCGATCCCAGGACCCTGGGATCATGACCTGAGCCGAAGGCAGACACCTCACCAACTGAGCCACCCAGGTGCCCCTGACATGTCACTGGCTTTTTGAGAGCCGCTGATCATGAAGCAGAGGTGGAGAGCTCTCTCCCTGCATGTCACCCTTGGGGTGCAGGTGAATACAGGATGGTATTTCTCCTTTCGATGCCACGTCAGCTCCAACCTTTTCTTGTTTTCTGAGAAATTACACCCTGATTCGGAATAATCCCAAGTTTGTAGAACGTTAAGTCATTCTTGGTTTTTCTCTGGGTGGTGCCTCTTGGAGCCACAGACCTCAGAACATTCCTAGCGATTCGGAAAGTGGCGGGGAATTAGTTCAACAGCACACTGTCTCTGTCACCACTGAAGTCATCTGTGACTCGGTCCCACTGAGACGCTGTCTTTCTTCTCACCAGGTTACCTCCTCCTTGGCCTCATTGCCATGTTGGTAGTTCTGGAAACCTTCTGTGAGCTCCACGAGCTGAAAAAATTCAGAAAATTGTTCTATGTGAAGAAAGACAAGGACGAGGATCGGGTCCACATCATAGAGCACGACCAGCTGTCCTTCTCCTCCATCGCCGACCAGGCCACCGGCCCGAAGGAGGATCGGAAGCAGAACGAGCCTTTTGTGGGCCCGCAGTCCTCCGCCCAGCCCGATGGCTCCGCGGGCAACTGAGGGCTTTGCTGCCTTGTCCCGGGAGCACCAGGGCCGGGGCAGGGAGAAAGAGCCTTTGTCTCATTGATTTGTATGAGAATGTAGAGGCCAAGATGATCTTTTAACAAATATCTACTGTTTGAAATATTTACAAAAAACAAAACCAAAACACCACAAAAAAAACAACACAATGGAACAAAGCAAGCTTTTACTCTGGAGGAGTGATATCTGAGGAAACAGGATACGTACCTATAATTCACATGTGACAAAATTACCTAGACTTTACAAATAGGTAAGGATACGTGAAGAAGGGTGCTGCTGTGGGTAGAAGCTGATTTTATACTTTTGATCGGGGACTTTGGGATTTGTGTTTAAATCATTTTAGCTAAAGGCTAAATAGCAACATTTATATTTAAGAGCAAAAAAAAAGAGAAGTATAGAGATGTGTTTTATAAATAAGTTTATGTGTACCTGTTTGCATGTGCCCATCCCAAATCATTATTTTTATAGAATCTAACTTAAACCTACTATTTATAATGATTAGGCAACCGTTAACTGTGTACACACAAGTATAATAAAACTGTTTGTATCTTGTGCATACGGTTTAGCCACTGGGTCCCAGCATCCTTCTTAACCCAAGATTGTAGATATTTTTCCTTTTGATTTCTCTTTGTACTCAAGAATCCAGTCACTGCAATAAAATAAGGGAACAATACACTTGAGAGTGAGTTACTCTAGGATTCTGCTACAAGAAATGTTTCCACCCTTTGTAAGAGTACGATAACCTGTGTCTCACGTGTTCGTAAGCCTTTCTCCGGAGAGGAACCGCTCACGAAGAATACGGTTTGTAAAAGAAGTTACTTTGTTTTGAAAGTGCGCTGTGATTTGTAGTCATCTGGTCTGCACAGCCCAGGACGTGAACCTAGGCACCCGGAACAAACAGATTCTGTCAAATTAATCGGAGAGTTTTTACATTTACGAGCTGAAATCAATAAAAGTCATAGCTGGTCGCAATCCTATGTTTTACTGTATCAAAGAAAGCCTTCCTCTGTGTACACACGATGTTTGTACTCCTTTACAGAAGCCGTTCAGGCAGCATTTAAATGGTGCACACAGGACACTGTTAAGAGTGTTCAAAGACGAAAAAGACCCTGTGAGATCACTGAGCCTTGGGGAGCTCGCTCAGAAATACCTCTGTGACGTGCCACCCTGGGCACACTGTTACCAGCCTGGTGCTGCTGGCTGCTGGCCTGCCTTTATTGTGGGAGAGCCCGTCTGGCCTCCGAGCAACACAGCCTTAAGAAGGAAGTACCTCGGCTCCAGATACCCCGTGCCACCCCAGGCCCCCCGGAATGCCATCAGTAGACCCCCCCTTTCCCAGTGCTGGAGTCCATACGTGTTCTGTTCCTCTGGATCTGGGTGACGCTGCCCTGTAAACACATTTCTGTGTGTGTCCCGCGCTGACCGTCTCCACAGTGGGGACTGCTCTTAGGTGGGGGGTCGGTGATGGGGTAAGGAATGGACTAGAGACTCTTTAGCAGGAGGGACATGCATCAAGGACACGACAGGGTCTGGAAAGTTCGAAATGACCACAGCACAGAGTGTCTCAGGATAAAGATCATAGAAGCCACGGGTTTTACACGGGGAGAGTGTGTCTTTATGTTCCGCGCAGGAACAGAATGGATGTGCACGACTAATCGGAGAGGGGGGCGCAAAACACAGAAGGAGAAAGAGCAGAAAGGGAGGGTTCTGAATCAGGGGTCATCGAGTCCTGCAAGGGCCAAGTTAATTTTCAAAGCGTAATTTTAGGAATCTGCAGAGAAGGCACTAACCCTTAATGCCCTTCCAGTTGCCTTAGTTGTTTCGAATGGGAAGGGGGGACATGCAGAAACGGAAGCAACTTTTGCCTGCCGCGTCCTGGGGGATGCAAAACGTCAGGCTGGGTATCTTCTCTATGCTCTGCTTTTCATCGTTGGCCGTTGGGCAGATGCTGCTCTGTGGTCCTGAGGGGGAGCCCCTGTCAGTCAGAGAACAGAAGCAGAGAAGCAGGACCTGCTGGAGGCAGGAGGAGCCCAGGCAGCAGGGAAACGACCTTGGAGCCTTCTAGCTGAAGGTGAGCAAGGATGAAGCTGGCGGTGGGGGTGAGACTCGCAGGGAGATTTGGAGTCATGCGTCAAGGATAAGCGCAAGGATCCAACTCTTGGGCAAGGGTGTTCTAGATTGAGTTCTTTTTTTAGGATTTTATTTCCCTTTTTAAAGATTTTATTTATTTGACAGAGTGCACAAGTAGGCAGAGAGAAGGGGAAGCAGGCTCCCCACTGAGCAGAGAGCCCGATGCGGGGCTCGATCCCAGGACCCTGAGATCATGCCCTGAGCTGAAGTCAGAGGCTTTAACCCTCTGAGCCATGCAGGCGCCCTTCTAGATTGAGTTCTTAGGAATCCTTACCAAATGCTCTCAGAGAAGCAGCAGAAAGCTTTGTCTTTCAAGGAGAGGACCCCCGCGTGTGACTTTAAAGTCACATGCGCCCAGCAGGCATCTGGATTTGGGAGCAGCAGGTAGACCCAGTGTGAGCAGGGACCAGTGTTGACGGAGGATGAGTTCTCCGTCTCCCAGCGGTCCAAGGCAGTGGAGCGCAAGGGCTGGGAGCAGTCTCCAGAAGAAGCTAAAACAGGAAGTAGAGCAGATGAAGTTGGGCCCAGAGGACTCCGTTTATGAGGCTGGCCTCTGCAGGAATCACCCCCCCCAAGGGGTTTAAAAGGTGATTTGTTCAAAAGCCAAAGAGGGCGATGAGTGGTTGGGAAAAGGGGATGTTTTCTGAACAGATGGTATGGTGTGACTTAAGGCAAAAATGGGAATGACTCGATCATTAAGACGGGGGGTTGCTTCTCTTGCCTGAAAAACAGTCGTGCCCACACTCTACAGCCTTCTGGAAGCCTTTCGGAAGGTGAACAGGGAGATGTTTACAAATCTGGCAAAATACTGAAATATAAAATGCAAAGCTTTTTTAACCCTTTAAAATTACCAGTAGTACCTCTTAAAAGCAGCAGGTATTTGCTTCAGAGTTCATTTTAAGTTGGCACAAGCGTGGCCTGGAAGGGAACTGAGGATTCTCTGTCTCTCACTCAGAAGGCAGGGAGCAGAACTTCCTGGCCGACTGAAAACCACCTTACAGCGCTGAACCGGAAATTACACAGAACTAACCATGCATTTGACTCTGCCGGGTACCATTTTCCATCTGTCTCTTTTCACACATACAGTTTTCCCTGTAGTGGTGTATTATTTTCTGAGAGTTCTACTTGTTGGAAATTTGGTACATCCAAGCCTTTTGTGTGAAGGCAAAACAGGAAACGGTTTGGCTGACGACAATTTTCCAGACATCTCACTTATCTAATAGGAGCTGTCGGCAAACTCAGCTTTTGAAAACACAGTAAGGAGCCCAGAAGTAGGTAAAAACATTTTTACGTATCTTTGCAGCCTGGTGGTGAAGCACATTTAGTAAGAAACGAGCCCCTCCTCGCTTCCCTCGCCCAGCTTTGCACACGGTTCTAGTAAAATGCTCTCGTTTCCACCCCACTGACAAAGGGGAGCACTTCTACCCAGTTCTCAAATTTTGAGTGAGCGCCCTTCTCATAGTTTTTAGGTGGCAAGATATTAAAAGGCATGGTGCACATTGGCAGTACCTGCTGTACAGTCATCAGGCAGACCCAAGTCAGCACCGGATCTCCATTCCCCTAAAAGCATCCACGGTTCCTGCACCGTCCACCTTGGCCTCCTGGGCCACTCAGAGTCTGGGGACAGTTTGCTGCCAGACCACCCTTTTGCATACTTAAAAAAAAAAAAATGACCAAACACTCTAAGAATCTGACAACTTTCTCCCTTAACTGCAGGCTTTTCCATTCTGAGTGAAACAGCAGGGCACGCTCAGGCCAGCACAGTTGTAAAAGTGTGAATACTTAATGAGGAAAATGGATTTTCCACGTTGGTAAAACTTTGCCCAGCTGCCTGTGTGTGGTTTGTGGGTCTGAGGGCCCTGTGCCACCTGCTTTGAGAACCACATGCTAACCTAGCAAGTGCGCTGAGAGGAGCCTAACATGAAGGGCGGACTCAGACGCAGAAGAAAAGAACTGCCTTCTACAGCCCTCCCCGGAGGGGCAAACAGCCCCCAGGACAGCACACTCTTGTTGTTGTTAAGATTTTATGAGAGAGCTTGTGTGCATGAGTGGGAGGAGGGGCAGAGGGAGAGGGACAAGCAGACTCCCCTCTGAGCAGGGAGCCCCGCACAGGACTCGATTCCAGGACCCCGGGATCATGACCTGAGCCGAAGGCAGATGCTTAACCAACTGAGCCACCCAGATGCCTCCAGAACACTTTTTTAAAATGTTATTTCAACATTGTGATTTTTATAACAATGTTAAACTATTCTTAATATACTCTGTTTAAGGAGATAGAGTAAATGAAGATGTAGTTCCATACAAAATGATTAAAATTAGGGTTTTTTTTATTTTTAAGTAATCTCTACACCCAGCATGGAACTCTGAATTCTCAGCCCCGAGATAAGTAGTCACATGCCCCAACGACTGAACCAGCCAGGCGCCCCATGAAGAGACTTGTTTTTCAAATATAACTTCCATTGTCTGAAAAACTCACTTAAGCTAAATACCTCATTTTCCAACATGAGGTAGCAAGTTCATGAGTGTATAGCCTTGCTATCATTTACCTGACTGCTAAAATCTCCTGTAAGTAAATTAGACATTATTTATTTTTAGTTGGAGAAATTGAGCTTTGAGGGTCTTTTTTAATCCTCTCCCATTATTTATATGTTGTGATTATATATATGTGTGTGTATGTGTGTGTGTGTGTGTGTATAGATCATGCATTTTATTTATTATTATTTATTATTTATTTCCATTTCCAAGTAATGGCTGGAAAGCCCAAGTCCACTGGCAGTGAGATATTTAACTTACCTACCAGTGAGTCCGTAAGTGCTCAGAGACATCAGCATAATTTACCTGAAACTCTTGCATTACTTTGTTCTTGCTCTGTGTAAACATTATTGCTTTAAATTGCCGCATTAAGGTGGGAAGTTTGCCCTTTTTTATGGACTCCCTTGAATAATGAAAGCCTTCCTCTGTGCCCTTGCTACTAACTTGGTACACCACATGGTGACTGCAGTTTTGGACAATGTGACCGTAACACTGGGACCAAGCTTGTTGTCACCCATTAGGCAGTGACCAAGCCAGATTTTAAAGGTCACTGCATAATTTGTGGCATGTGAACTAGTGGTTAGAACTCTGTAATGAAGTAAAACAGTAGACTTTTTTTTTTTTTTTTTAATCAGGATCTTATTTTTCCTGGGCTGCTCCCTCTGAATTTGGGGAGCTGAGAAAGAGACCAGACTGTCCCAGGCATCCCTATCTTGCGGCAGAGAACAGCAGAGCCCCGGGCCATGCCAGGTGTTGACTCCACATGTCCCTGTTGGTGATGCCTAGGAAAGGGCACTAGGCAGAGAAGGACAAGCCCCATACATCGGTCTTCAGGAACTTGGCTGTGCCACCGAGGACGTATTTCAGATCATTGTGGAAGGACTT